AACAACTAGCACCATGAACACTGCCTGGGTTTGTTCTACCTCCTGGCTGTGCCTTCATTAATGCAATTAGAAAGCAGAGAACCTCAGTCTTAGAAACTAATTCAGATCCTTTGGGTTTCTCAGGAGGGAGAGGACACCCACGACAAGAGCTGGGGTCCCGGGGCTAATTTACACACACTCCACGCTCAGGCCMGGCCCAGACCTCTACCCGGAACCTTCGGGGGCATCAGCTTCCGCCAACTCTCAGCCTTTCATTTTATTTCTTTCAGTTTTGTAAACGCGGTCACTTGCAGTTCAGCAGACGAGCAGGGAAGGGAGTCGAAGTCAGGGAGAATGGCAGTCAGTGGTCGCCAAGGCCTCCTCAGAGGCAGGTGGAAATCACAGCTGCGTTAAGCCCCCAGCTGCAGCTGAAGGCGTCTACAACCTCCTCCGTTAAGACAGAAAGGGAGCCCGGGGTCGGAGTCAACTCGGCAATGCCGCTACCAGCGGGTGATCCGAGGCCACTGACGTGGCTGGTTTCGAGGGGMCTCCAGTGTGTGTGGAATCCAGAAGCCCCAGGGCGCCGCTTACGGAGAGCACCCACAGCACTAAGCGTCACCCAGAGCGCTCCKCACTAGGAGCCCGCGCTACGGTGCCGCGCAGAGCATCGCGGGAGTCGCACCGTCTGACGTCACTAGGGGTCGCCCGCGCGCGGGGTCGGGGCCATCACCTGCTGAGTCCTGGCCGCTGCTCTGGCCCTGGCAGCCTCCGACGTTAACGTGGCCTCGAGAGTTCATCCTGCCCAGGCTGGGTCATAGGCACTGGAGAGGCTACCAGCACCGCAGATTTTCAAGCCATTCGTCWAGCCTTGAGATTTTGACTAGTTAATTTCTCTCTGCAATTACATTGTGAACTGCCGGAGGCACCTAGGATACCACCTTGTTAGGCTTCACGTGAAAATCTCTTATGTAAATGAGCAAGGCGATTCGTTTCAAAGCATATATTTCTTCCTATCTCTTGAAGGCAAGGGAAAAAATGCTAACATAGGTTTCAGAGGCTGAGGGTAGAGTTCTTTCCCTTCAACAATATGCTCAGATATTGCTTGGTTAAATTTTTAAAATTAAAGACAAAATTTAATTTCAGAAAGGCATATGTAGCTGCTCTAGGACCTTTTAGGAAACAGGTTTTTTTTTTTTTAATGAACTTAATATTTATTATTATTATTATTATTATTTTTTTGGTGGACACAACATCTTTGTTTGTATGTGGTGCTGAGGATCGAACCAGGGCCACAGGCATGCCAGGCGAGCGCCCTACTGCTTGAGCAACATCCCCAGCCCCAGGAAACAGTTTTTAAACTATCCTGATACTTGGTTTTACAAATAAGAAGAAACTTATCAAAGGCACCCATATCCATGAATCATAAAATGCCACAAACTGGCCAGGCATGGAGGCTGAGGCAGGAGGACTGGAAATTCAAAGCCAGCCTCAACAACTTAGCAAGTCCCTTTCTTAAAATTAAAATTAAAAAAAAAGAGGCTGGGAATGTGGCTCAGTGGTTAAGTGCCCCTGGGTTTAATCCCCATTATAAAAAAACAACCACAATTTTTCCCCCTTGAGGATAGTTTCCTTCACTTTCATTTACCTCTCGCTTTYTAATGATTTATGTCCTCTTTATTTAAAAAAATATTTTTTAGTTATTGATGGACCTTTATTTGCTTATTTATATGTGGTTCTGGGAATCSAACCCAGTGCCTCACACATCGGAGGCAAGTGCTGTACCTCTGAGCTACAACTCCAACCCCTGTCCTCTTCATTTTGACACTTATGTTTCTCTGATCAGAGACATCTGAATTCAACAAAATCTCCAGTTTTTATTCTGTTATCTACCAGGACTGATACCATCAGTTTTATTGCTTCTGTTTTTTAATGTTTATTTATTTATTGGTACAGATTGAACCCAAGGGCACTTTACCACTGAGTTACAACCCCAGTTCTTTTTACTTTGAGACAGGGTCTTGCTAATTGCTAAAGCTGGCCTCAAATTTATGATCATCCTGCTTCAGACATGCAAGTCATTGGGATTACAGGCATGTACCACCATACCTGTCTGATTTTTTATTTTTAAGAGTGAGGTTGAAATACTTGTTCAAGTTAGTTACTTTTCCTCTCAAATGGTTTTAGTGCTAGTAAAAGACTGCCCCAAGTTAACAATCACTGAAATAGAAGGGCAATCTTTTTTTTTTTTTTTTCTTTTGCAAGACTGGGAATGGAACCCAGGCCCCTCTACACTGAGCTACATTAGTTTTTACTTTGAGACAGGGTCTCATTAAATTGTTGAAGTTGGCCCTGAACTCGAAATTCTGCCTCAGACTCCCAAGTAGCTGGGATTACAGGTGTGCTAGAGGGACATTCTTATAAATCACATTTAAATTTAAAAACACTCATGCTTATGATTTTAACTAGTTGATTAAACTTAATTCACTAATAGAGGACCAATCTGACATTGTACACAATACTACCTATGAAATATTCTTGCCAAAAATGTTAAATTCAAAGTTAGTCAAGCATTTAGACTGAACTTTCAGTTTAAAGAAAATAAAGCAACAACAGACATCATGATGAAACAACCAGATAAATCCAGAATGTGGGCTATTTGGCACACCACCTAATTTGATCTCTTCAAAATCTCAATGGTTGGCTACAGGTGTAGCTCAGTAAATAGTAGAGTGCTTACCTAGCCTGCTTGAGGACCTGGGTTTGATCCCCAGCATAGCAAAAATAAAAACAACAAATGTTAATTTAAAAGAGAAAGAAATAAAGAAAGAGGGAGACTTTTCCTGATTTCATGAGACAAATAGGGGTTGGATGTGGTGGTGCATGCCTATAACCCCAGCAACTCAGGAGGCTGAGACAAAAGGATCACATGTTGCAGGCCAGTCTCAGCAACTTAGAGCGACCCTGTCTCAAAAAATAAAAAGGGCTGGGGATGTAGTTCAGTGGAGAACCACCACTGGCTTTAATGCCCAGTACCAGAAGAACACAAAACAAAAAAACCCAGTCAAATAAGGGCTAGATGTGCAGCTCAGTTGGAAAAGAGCTTGTTCCCTTACATGCTAGTATTTCACCCATAAATACTTTATTACATAACTATAATATCATTATCACTTTTTAAAATATTTTTTAGTTGGATACAATACCTTTAATTAATTAACTAATTAATTTGTATGTGGTGCTGAGGATCAAACCCAAGGCCTTGCCTATGCTAGGCGAGCACTCTACCACTGAGCCACAATCCCAGCCCCCAAACATTATCATTTTTACTATCACTTAATATTAAATGCATAGTCCCCAATTATCCCCAAAATGATTTTTTTGTTTTTAAACATTTTTAGTTGTAGATGGACACAATACCTTTTCTTTAAAAATATATTTTTTAGTTGTTGATGGACCTTTATTTTATTTATAGGTGGTGCTAATAATTGAACCCAGTGCCTCACAAATGTGAGATAAGAACTCTACCACTGAGCCACAACCCCAGCCCTATAATACGGTTATTTGTTTAGAGGATCAAATCCAGTTCCTCACACATGTAAGGCAAGTGCTCTACCACTGAGTTACAACCCCAGCCCCCAAAATGTGTTTTATGTTTTTCATTTAATTAAGGGTTATATTATTTTTTTGGTACTAGGACTCAAACCCAGGGCCTTGTAAATTGTAAGTAAGCATTCTAACCTTGAGCTATGCCCCCACCTTACCCCAAAGTTTTAAACTTCTAAAAATGTCAATTCCTTGACAAATTAGTTTTGTGGCTTGAATGATCAGTTCCATGTGAACATACATATTTTGGGWCTGAACATCTTCTAAATCTGCTCACCCTTCAGGATCTCCTCGTCTATGGCAATCAGGGCACAAATCTTGCCAATCTGACATTCAACACAAGACTTAAATCTGTTTTTGTTTCTGGTTTTTTTTTGTTTGTTTGTTTTGGTGCTGGGAATGAACAAAGGGGTACTTTAACACTGAGTTACATTCCCAGTCCTGTTTAGTTTTTGAGACAAGCTCTTGCTAAATTGCTCAAGCTATCCTACAACTTTTGATCCTCCTTTCTCAGCCTTCTGGAACATAAGAGCGCGCCACCACATCCGGCCCTAATCTGTTCTAACAAAAAAAAAAGATGAGTTTAGTCCTCATCTTTATTATTTCCTCTTCGAGTTTATCACATTACCCCCTAAATGGCCCTCTTTCTGTTTTCCCATCTAATRGAACACACCAGCTGAGCTATTCCCATTGTGCCACATCTCTTAAACACTTTCAGTGGTTCTGTAATCTTCTGTCAGCTTCAGGATTCCCTAAAGGTGGTTCCCAGTACATTCCAGTACACTGCTGTGCATTTCCATACATCAACTGACCATTCAGGCAGAAGCAGTCTCTCTTATTGTTCCAGGACACACCGTATAGCTTCTTTGGGAAAAGAGTGTCGCATTTTGCCCTGCATTGAATGCTTTAAGATTTCAGAGGAGGCTGGGCATGGTGGCACCTACTTATAATCCCAGCATATTAGGAGATTGAGGAAGGAGGATCCAARTTCAAAGCCGCCTCAACAACATGGTGAGACCCTCAAGACAGATAAATTAAATGAGTTGGGGATATTGCCCAGTGGTTAAGCACCCCTGGGTTCAATCCGTAGTTTAAAAAAAAAAAAAGAGAGTTCAAGGTTCAGAGAAGGGAGGAAATGAACAGGTGGAGACTACAGCCTCTAAGTGGTCTGTCTTGTGGACAGCTGGCAGACTAAGGGTTAATGAAACATCTAAGGAAGATGTTTTTTATTTTATCTTTTTCCTTAGGTATAGTGGGGCAAACAGACTATGGGTTAAGTCTGTTTTGTATTCCTGTGAATTAGTTCAGAAAGCCGTACAGTATATCAATAAGCTTGAGAGTTTTGTAAGTCTTTGACAAAGGAGGCTCAAACCTTGAACTGGAGTCGGAGGGGAAAAAAGACTTCAATGACAGACTGTTTGTTTTATAAATCATGAAAGTACAGATTCAATCATAGATTTAATTTTAAAAACAGAAACATTTCTTCCAAAAGGATTTTGTAAGTCAGAAATCTTACCTATCTGAATACTATAGAAGATGCACAGACCTACAACTTGTGAAGAGTGTACAGACACTTTGGTAAGAAGTTGAGGAATTAAAAAATGGAAAGAATCAGGAGGCAGAAAATGCTTCAAGAGGCATGGTCCTCAGAAATTGTTCGGGAATACCATTTCACTCGTATCGATGTCATGTTCCTGGATGAGAAAATAAAATACATAATTTTAATATTTCAGTACAGAGCCTGAAATATGAACTGTTTTGGTTTTTTTTTGAACTTTTTATGAAGAGATTGTGACTAACTATTAATTAGGACACTGCTCACCACCTGTAGTAATGAATGATAGCAAGTACAGTTGCAAAGCCTGCACCAGATTCCTTACCTTGGCCTTCAGTGCCTGTCCTCCAAGCTACCAAGATGAGTACTTTTGAAAATCTAACCACCTTCCTGCTCCCACCAATGCACATGTCACTGCTGAGCAGCATCTCAGTTACATCTTTTCTAGGTTCCCTTCATGGCACCCAGAGCACTGTAACTGCCTGTATGTCCCACACTCACACAGCTCTGAGAAACAAGGACTGCATTCATTTTGCTTACTGCTATGACCCCAAAATTCTTGCCCTATGCCAGGCACATCTTAGATGTACAGTGAACACTGTCAAATGAGTACACAGCAGAGCCAGCCCCCTTCTAGAACAGAATCAGAACATAACTGGTAGTTGTCTTTTTTTTTTTTTTGATACTGGGAATTGAATCCAACAGCACTCAATCACTAACCATATCCCCAGTCCTATTTTTTATTTTGAGACAAGGTCTCACTAAGTTCCTTAGGGCCTCTCTAAGTTGCTATGGCTGGCTTTGAATTTGCGATCCTCCTGCCTCAGCTTCCAGAGCTGCTGAGATTATAGTCATGTGCCACTGCACCTGGCCTAAATGATCTTTCAACTCCGCATTTAAAATCCTAAGCTTTTATTTTGCCTGCTTACATTAAAATATAAAACATACTCTTTTTTTTCTACATAAGTAACGTATTCATTATAGAAATTTTAATAGTCAAGGAAAAGTAAAATCCTTTAAATCCTACAAACCTATACAGATACCTTTATATTCCTATATGTATCAGGCAAGTGCTCTACCAGTGAGCTACACCCCGAGCCCTTTGAATGTTATTTTTGGGACAGGGTCTCCCTAAGTTATAGAGGCTGGTCTTCAACTTGTGATCATCCTGCCTCAGCCTCCTAAACTGCTGGAATTACAGATGTGTGCCACAATACCTGGCTGAGAGAGAGGATTTCTAACACAAGATGCTGCCTTCATGTGCTGCTGTTCTGTCCTTTGTTCAGTTTCCTCTGGCCACACTGGCATCAGTGCCATTCCTGAAGCAAGCCAAGTGCAACTCAGCCTGAGGGACTGTGCACAAGTCTTCCCTCTTCCTAGAGCACTTCTCCTCCAGCTATCTGCCTGGCTAAATTCCCCAAAACCTTTAATCCTATACCCTAGGATACTTAATCAGTTCCTTTCTGATAAAGAKTATTCTCAACTGAATTGCATTAACTGTGCAGTGAGGCTGATCTTGACCACTCTATTCATACCAGTCACTACCACCATACTTGGCACACTTGATCCCTCCTTGCCCTACTCACTTTGTTTATACCAGAACACTTACCATCCAGCACACTAAGGGACTTGCTTATATATTCTGTTTATTGTTTATTGCCAGGACACTCCAGCTAGAATATGAGTTCCATAAATACAGGGATCACTGTCTGCTGTACACCCAATAGATACTTAATAAATACCAATGAATATCTTAAAACACTGTCTATGGATGACACTGTCACTTGATGGGCTGCCACTTYAGTAGACCTCCAGGGCTCTATACCTGGTTCAGTTTCTTGAATTCAACCACTTGGAAAAAAATGTGCTCAAGGATATGTTTGGCATCCTGTTGATCCTTTGGTAGTTTACTGGTTACTCCAAGAATGTCACCACACTTTCTGACGTAGAATTCCAGGTCTTCTTCAGTACCTACACACAGTTGGAGTAGTTAGATTCACCCTTAATTTCTGCCCTTTCCTAAGTACAGACTTAATGTWTTTTAGATCTTCCCTATCAAGATCCTACATATCTTGGGCTGGGGTTGTAGCTCAGCGGTAGAGTGCTCGCCTAGCACGTGCAAGGCCCTGGGTTCGATCCTCAGCACCACATAAAAATAAATAAAAGTATTGTGTCCAACTACAACAAAAAATAATTTTTTTTTTAAAAAAAAGATCCTACATATCTTAACTCACTGGTTCCTAGGGTGATGTAGACTTAAACAGTGACAAACTTGAGATTTCGGATGTGCTACTTTTATAATTAAGACAAAAGTGACATACTRTCAGACTGAGGCTGGATTGGTTTTCTTTTCTTTTCTTTTTTTTAACTAGTGATTGAACCGAGAGTCCCTCTACCACTGAGCCACACCCCCAGCCCTTTTTATTTTTCATTTGGAGACAGGGTCTTGCTAAGTTGTTTAGGGCCTCACTAAGTTGCTGTGGCTCATCTAAACTTGTTATCCTCCTGCCTCAGCCTCCCATATTGCTGGGATTACAGGTATGTGCCATCGCATCTGGCTTAGTTCTGGCTTTCTTAGTCCCCAGCATTCTAACATTATAAGTTCTGGACCACCCAGCAGGAACTCAAGCTACCATTCTCGGACTGCAACAAGAACCACTATGAAAAAGGCAGGTGGGTATTTTAAATAGCATTTATTATAAGATTATTTTAGAAAAGAAAAAATCACCCATAATCCATCATTAACATTTATCTGTGAAGCTATTCCCAGCTCCAGTAATTACTGCCCGTCATTCATTACACTAATTCTTCCCCCTCTGATTCACATTTWAAAAAAAATATTTTTTATTAGATTTTGATGGACCTTTATTTACTTATTTATTATGTGGTGCTGAGAATCAAACCCAGTGCCTAATGCATAYTAGGCAAGCTCTCTACTACTGAGCCACAACCCCAGCCCTGATTCACATTTTTTAAAGTTATGATAGAAATGTAAGTTTTGAAAACATAAATAGGTTGGGAATATAGCACAGTGGACAGCACTTGAATAGTACAAGGCCCCAGGTTTGATCCTTAGCACCATAAAAAAAATAAATTAAAATGTATAGCTATCAGGACCATCCTAGACTCTTGCCCCACCAAGGTAAGACTACCGAATTATTGCTATATATGCCTCTGTGTGTAAATACAAGTTTTCACAAAAGTGGAATCAAACTATAATAGTTCTATAAGTTATCACCATAGTTTGTGTGGTTTTTGTGGTTCTGGGGATTAAACCCAGGGCCTTGTGCATACTAGGCAAGTGCTCTGCCACCAAGCTACAGCCCAGCCCTTCTTCTTGCTGCCATCATTTAATAATATGCCACAGAAATTCCATGTCAGAGCTTATGTTCTACATCTTACTTTAAAAAAAAAAAAAAAATATATATATATATATATAGTTATAGGTAGACACAGTATCTTTATTTTTTTATTTTTATGTGGAGCTGAGGATCAAACCCAGTGCCTCATGAATGTGAGGCAAATGCTCTCCCTCTGAGCCAGAATCCCAGCCCCCTACATCTTACTTTTAAAAGACATAATATTCCACTTGATTTCATACTCTTATTTATTGAAGGATGAACCATTAGACTGCTTCCAATTTTTTTGCATGGTACAATTAATATCTACATAGCAGTATCATTTTTATTCTACATTTTTATAAGAATTTTCATAGAAAAAATTGCAAAAAAGAAATGCTGGGATGTTGGTTAAAAGCATCTGATTCTTCAAAGATACTATTCCTTCTACACTAACCATTATGTCTTTTTATTTTATTTTTTATTTTTTTGGTGTTGCAGGAGATGAAATCCAGCACCTTGTGCATTTTAGGTAAGCTCTCTAACACTGAGCTGCACCCCAGCCCTTTCTTGCTAAGTGTTCACTGCCAACATCTACCACAATGCCTCTCACAGAATAAAGATGTAGTAAAGGTGCTCTATTTTTCAGTGAACTATTTCCATTTTTTCACATAACTTTCTGGTCTTCAGATACATACAGATTTCACACAGTTGGGATCTACTGTGTGTGCAGTTTATACCTTGCTTCATTAGGATTGCCTCTTAAAATTCTGCCATCACTCCCTGGCCTATAAACTTCTTTCATAATGACTACTTATTGTCCAACTGATTGAATGGGACACAATTTACTACCATTCCCCTGCAAGTAGACAGTAAGGCTATTCCCAATTTTAATACATTTTTAAAATAAATCATGTAGAAGTCATCTGTAATCCTTCATTCATCTCCTTAAATTATACTCCCAGGAGAGAGGAAAGTGCTGCACTGTGGATTATGCTCCTGGACATATATGTACAGGCCTATTTGCTGTGCCGAAGGYTGGGCATGTCAGCAATCAATAGGCAGGTCCACCACTCATCATGGAGTTGCGTGGCCTAGAGCCTCATTTCATCTGACTCCCAGTTTGAAGGCTCTTTACGGCATATTCTTTTGGTCATGACTCATTTTTATTCATGACTTTTCATATGATCAATGGCCTAGATTTACTAGATAGTAGCCAGCTCAGGATTCAGCCTATGGTTATCAACAGGTCAGAACTAAAGGCCTACAAGGATGAGAGTCACGACTTTTTGGCTTCCTTCTTAGCACTGTGTTCTAAATCACTGAGCTAACTGGCCTCAAGAAAAACAACTAGTATCATTTGTATGAGATGAAAAAATTTTAACTGAGATGAAAAAATTTTAACTTCATACATCTGTACATATTTTGTTCTCCCTCAGCAAATCTCAAAAGTTCACAGTTAAGTAAAAGTCATAAAGAATACAAAATTGAGGGCTGGGGATGTGGCTCAAGCGGTAACGCACTCGCCTGGCATATGCGTGGTGCTGGGTTCAATCCTCAGCACCACATAAAAGATGTTGTGTCCACTGAAAATTGAAAAATAAATATTAAAAAAAATACAAAATTGAAAAATTGGCCAAACTTACATTTATTGGTGATCTGAGCAAGCCGTGCTTTCTCAGATGAGAACGTCTCATCTAAGTCAAACAGTTCCAGAGGAGGAGGTGGTAACTCCCGGAAGCTAGGAGGGAAAACCTAAAAGGAAACAGTCTGTCCTGAAAGAGTTATCAAAAGCCATAACTAATAATAATGAGATGCACCGGAAATTAGAGGCCAACTCAGCCCTTCCCTGGGGATGAACCACCCAAATTCCCATGGTTAAATTCCCCTCCTCCKGCCCTCATCCAACAGACCCATGCCAAGCCAGACTTGAGAATTCTGAAAGCAACCAAACAGAATCAGCTCTAACAACACCACTAAACTGATCAAGCTGAAATATGGATGCCAACTAACTTGGCACGTCGATGCAAAGGTTAGGGATTAAGTTTGGGCTAAACATTTGATTTTTCAACTCATTTCTCATTTGATCATGAGATCTTTAGGAACAGAGATTATTTGGGGAACAGATTAGTATAGCAAATGCTGAACTAGGTCAGAATTCATAGTTATGAACCAGTGATCTGCTGGTATACTTYTAACTATGAATTCTCAAAACAAAATATCTGATTTGTGGCACTTGCTATTTTCTATGATATAAATACTCTATCACGGCCAATTTCAAGCTAGCAAACTGAAGCCAACTGGCTCATAACATTCCAGAATGTACMGGACAAACTAAGCAGGTTGAGTTAATACTGGACTAAAAAGCTGAAGAATAGCCTGTCTATACTTGACTATCTCCAGGCTATGCCATGCCATGCCATTCCTATTCCATTCCTGATCCTTTCTTGTTTCTATTCTATTCTATCCTATTCTATTCTATTCTACCAAGGATTGTATCCAGGGGTGCTTAACCACTGAGCCACATCCCCAATACGTGTTTTTATTTTCAGGTAGGATCTTGCTAAATTGCCCAGGCCTCACTAAGTTGCTAAGGCTGGCCTTGAACTTACAATCCTCCTGTCTCAGCCTCCCAAGGTTGCTGGTATTATCTGTGTGCACCACCATATGCAGCTTCCCTGGACTTTTAGAACTGCTATCAATCTGAGTATCCAATGTCTAGAAAGACAGCACAAGTGTTTTTTTCCTTCTTACTAGGCAGTCTCACAGTATGCCCTACAACTCTATAAGATAGTCAAAAATGTCCACTTTCTTGATCCCTCAGGAAGCTTACCATGTTCATCCCTACAGAATACTAACAGGTTGCCTACCTATGCATTTCAGAGGCAGATCACTCTGACTCAGTGAGGCATGCCACAAACAGCACACAGAGGGGTCCACAATCAAAGTAAAAAGTGGGGCTCTGCAGGGGTGGCCCATGAGTACACCTACTCACCGCAGGCTGAAGGGCTGGCAGCGGCGTCTCAAACTGAGGTTGAATGAGTTGAAGTGGTTCATGTTTTACATTTAGCTGCTCATGAGCCCTGTGTTAATAAAACAAAAGCTAGGATCAAGGTGAGACACTGTAGCAAGGCACATCTAACTCACCACACTGTGCTGTTCTCCTCAAAGATGGTGGGTGATTCAGGACTATTTTTAAAAAATAAAATCTAGTTTGCTTCTGGCTAATCAACAGATTTGCATGCTCTGCCCTTCCTTGTGCTCCTTTACTCCACAGACTCTAACTGAATATCTACTGGTCCCAGGCAATTTACACACACAAGTACAACAGCAGTGAAAAGAAGAGAGCAAGGAGGCCTTTRTGGAACTTACATTCTTGGGGAGGAGAGATAGTAAACAAAACAACAATAACCCAAAAAAACAGTAATATGCCAGTTATCTATAAGTATTAAGAAAAAAAAAAAAGCAAATCCAGAGACAAAGGCTGCAAGTGACTTGTCAGAGGAGCCCTAAGTGAGAGAGGGAGGAAGTCATACAATTATCTTCAAGAGTGTCCTTGGCAGAGGCAAGAGGAAGGAAAAAGGTAGGAGGGGGCTAGGCCTTGTCACATAGCACAGGGACCAGAGGGGCTATGGTACACAGAGCGGTGGGAAAAGTTTACAATGTCAAGTGCTAATCGTACCCTGTGGTGTTGGGCTACTGTGGCTTTCCCTTTGCTTCTATTCTAACAATTAGTCTGTCTTTTTTGGATTTTACCTAATTTTGAAAGCTAGCTAACCTCCCCCGCAGAAGAGGCTAATCAAAATATACTCATCCAATTTAAATTTTATACATATTTGTGAGCTTTCAAAATTAAGCCACAAAAGTAAACACCGATGAGTGGACAAGGCTGTATGTATGAGTGATGTCAGAAAGCAGTGATGTCAGAAAGTTCTCCCCTTGTGCTTGGGGAGAACCCTTCCTAGCAATGAGCAGCAGATCCCCATAGAGGGAAGAGAAATAATTTATTGAGTACCAACTACCTGCCACATATTGTGCCTGACCCTGTGCTAGATACTTAAACTCACTTCATTTCATCACCAAAGCAACCCTGGAATATGGGCATAATCTCTTAAGGAAGAGGAAACAGATATAAAGATTTTAAGTAGCTTCCAAATTCATATGGTTCAAAGGACTTAATCTCCAGTACAAAAAAAAAAAAAAAGACAATACATTTAAGAGTTGTCCAAAGCCAGTTATCCAAAAGCAGCCCACACCTGTAATCCCACTGGCTTAGGAGGCTGAGACAGGAGGATTTTGATTCCAAAGCCAGCCTCGGCATCTTTTTTTTTGGTGGGGTGAGAGGCTGGAATTACAGGAATGCACCACCATGCCTGAATCAAGTGTGTTCTTTTGATGAAATACAGATGTACCCCCAAATCCCCAAATTTAAATCTCTAGTCCAAATTTCTCTGCTGATCATAAGATAACATGTACAACTGCCACTCAACATCATCTGGACAWTTCACAGACATCTTAACTCAATATGTCTCAAACTGAACTTCAGTTCTTCCTGTCCAATCTACTCAGTCTTCCCCAACTGTTATTGCAACTTTATCCTTTTAATTGCTAAGACCAAACCTTGAAGTCATCCTTGACCCCTTTTCTTCTCACCCTCCACATTCCACTATTTAGTATCTCTTGCTGCCYATACCTTCAAAATATATCTAGAATCTGACCACTCCTCACCACCTCCACAACTACCACCAGCTGGAGTATCATCTTGTGCYTGGATTACTGGAATCATCTCCCTTTATTCTCTGCTTCCACCCTTGCTCCCCTCATTTTATGACAGAACAGATGTACTTTTTTCCCTTTCTCTTTTTGTAGTGCTGGGGATGGAACCCTAGGCCTTGCACATTCTAGATATGCTGTACCACTGAGTCACACCCCCCAGTCCTTGATCCCTCACTTTAAAGAAATTAGTCATCATGTCATACCTCTCCTCAAAACTTTTCTCTCAGTCAAGGCTGACCTTAGGTCCTCACAAAGGCCTATAAGGAGCTGGGCATAGTAGTACACACCTGTAATCCCAGGTATTGGGGCTTAGGCAGGAGAATCACAAGTTCAAGGTCAGCCTCAGCAATTTAGTGACGCCCTAAGTAACTTAGTAAGGCCCTGTCTCAAATAAAGAAATTAAAAGGGCTGGGGATGTGGTTCAGTGGTAAAGCACCCTGGGTTCAATCCTCAGTACCAAAAAAAAAAAGTCTATAAGGCCCCACCAAGTCTCCTATCATTCCTGTTCCTGCTCCAGCCCCAACAGTCTTTTGGCTCTTCCTTGAATAATCAAGCACTTTCCCATCTTGTTCTCTTTTTTTTTTTTTTAAGAATTTTAATATTTATTTTTTAGTTTCTGGCGAACACAACATCTTTGTTTATATGTGGTGCTGAGGATCGAACCCGGGCCACATGCATGCCAGGTGAGCGCGCTACTGCTTGAGCCACATCCCCAGCCCCATCTTGTTCTCTTTATACTGGTCACTCTGAGAACACTCTGCCCAGTGTTCTTCCCTCAGATACCCACATGGCTCACTTGCTCACGTCCTTCAAATTTTTGCTCAAGCATCACCACCTCAAGATGATGCCATTCTGAGCTGGGCATGGTGGTACATCCCTGTAATCCTAGTGACATAGGAGGCTGAAGCAGGATGACCGTGAGCTCAAAGCCAGCCTCAGCAACTTAGTGAGGCCCTAAGCAACTCAGCCAGATCCTGTCTCAAAATAAAAAATAAAAAGGATGTGGCTCAGTAGTGAAGTGCCTCCGGCTTCAGTCCCCAGTACAAAAAAAAAAAAAAAATCACTCCGACCATCCTATTAAAAATGCAACTGCCCCAGTACTCCAATCCCCAGTAGTCCACTTGAAGTTTGTACCATCTTCTACCATATTCTTTAATCTACATATACACATATATAAATGTCTTAATGCCTATCTGGACATTGCTCATACAAGGACATCACTGAAAACCTCTCTCTCAATGTCCCCAGCTTATCTCCTGAAATCCTTCTACGAATACACACAGTGCTGAGTAGATACAAGGCCTTGAAGAAATGTTTGTTGAAGAATCAACATGTAGCTAAAAATGCAATTTTTTCATAAGATCCTCAATCAGAATCAAATTCCCTATATTCATTATGCCCATCTCTAGTTTAAACTTCACATTTAGGGTTTACATAATAAGCTTAATCAGAACTTGTCTGTCTCTTCCATAAACAGGAAATTTCAGGGATAGTTTCTAGTACAGTAGGCACTCAGTATTTGTTAACTTGAACATAAGGACAGGCGTATGAAGACAAGTATCTGTACTTGTACACTCCACCTTTGGTTTATTTAGATATAGATCCTGAGCCAGGCAAAATATGCTCAAAAATGTTATTCTCTGACCATCAGGGATGGAAAACAATAAATCAGGCAATAAAACAGGAGAAAGCACTGGCCTGAAAGTCATTTAGGACAGACTTTAAATCCCTGCTCACCTTCGGAAAATACTGTCCCTTCCTTCTTAGGGAGGGAATACTGTCTCTTCCTTCTTTAAACCTCAGTTCCTCATATGGAAACATGGCTAATAACTCTCAGGACCGTGGAAAAGTTTTCAATGGCATTAACAGTGTAAGTATCTCAGTTTACTGAGGGGGTTCCTGGGTCTTAAAGTTCTCTGTGTTAAACCTAGAAAAGTCCTGGGCAAAATGGAAAAGGTCAGTCATTCTAAGTGCTTGGTACATAGCTTGGAATACACAGTGGCTAATAAGTGCTGGCAGTTGCTCTGCATCCCCAACCCCAGTTTCTCTGTTGGCCTCGTCATAGATCTGAGAACGTTTTGTCTACCACCTTTGCTGTGACCCTAATTCCTGTCCCCAAGCTCATGTTTTCAAACAAACATAAATGAACTAAAGTGTAGCTCAAAGAGCCCCAGGTACTGACTTGATAACCTTGGGGAGGGAGGTGGTATCCAGCTGGTAAATGGACAGATCGAAGAGGGTGGTAAAGTCACGTGGGTTCTCATCACCCTCCTGGAGACACACTCGCAGACGCTCTGACAGGGTGGCTGTGTCAGGTAGCATCATGTAGTCGGAGATCTGAAAGCCATAAGAGGGTTCCTTTCAGCAAAGCAGGAACAAGAGTTCATTTTGTTGAGTCTCCACTGTCTGAGGTCTCAAATCTGCAGTACTTAAACTTTCTTGCCAAGAGATTTCACTATTCATGATCATAGACAACGAAATCTTAAGCCATTTTAAATGGAAAGAGGAACAAAACTCTCTTGGCTAAAGCCCAAGGCTGGTGAAGTCCAACTCTCCAAATACTCAAGCAGATACTAACACAGCTGAACACAGCTGCAGAAACACACAATCATGATGTCAGTCTTCTTTTAATTTCACGATGTCTCATCTTGACTACCAGGCACTCAATTCTATCTCCCTAGTCCACTTCCATTCCCACACCCAAGGCAATACTTCCCTTTGTCAAATTATCCATCCAAAATAGTTTTGATCTATTMAATTTTAGTGAGTGACTTTATTTTCTATTTTAGTGAGAAAATAGAAGCAATTATAAAAGAAAATACATCAACTCTCACTACAATATGCACCCTACACCAGCATCTGGGCCATACTGTTTTCTGTCCTGTCAAGTACAGAAATGCCAGTGATGCCAGCACAGACATCCCTTCCCTTTGTACACTAGATCCTAGCCCTTCTCTTTTAGCCTAAGACATCCTCCAACATTGCTGAGAGTCCTCAATGATAACATATGCTCAGTGCTGATAATAGTAAAGGATCAGGGAACCTAAATATCAATAGGAGGTTGTTCAATATAGTATAGTATTTTCAAACAATGTGAAATATACTCTTAAAAATGAACAGAAAAAGAGAAGAAAGCTCTTTAAAGAACATGGAAAAGTTCTCAGGTCATATTGATAATATCAAAAGGTAAGGTGCCAGGATAGTATGCATACACAGCAAATGTGGTACTATTTGCATAAAAGAAGAGGAAAGAAAGTACACACACACTCACATACTTGCTTTTATAACATATCTCTGGAAGAACATGTAGGACACTACTACTATTGTGGTCATTGGAAGGGGAACAGAGCGGCCAGGCTGAAAGATAGAAGGAAGACTATTTGTTGTGTATGCTTTTGAATTCTGAACTATGTGAATGTATTACCTATTCAAAAAATAAATTCAAATTTAACTAAATGAATGTTGTCAACAAGAAWTTTGCTTTTTATTGCCTTTTGAAATGTAATTAGCTAACAAGGCCAACTTGGTAATAGTTTAAAAATGGGTCCTCTGAAGTTATCTGCAGTGTACAGTTTCCTGTATTCTCTAGCTCCACCACTGCAAGAGATAGGCCTGAGCATTACATAAATAATAAATTGGTTCATTCTTTTCTGTAGCCCAAGGGTCAAAACTCTCCAATCTTCAATCTCTTTTTTTAAACAATAAATGAGAGAAGAGCATAAACAAATAAATATCCTTCCTGGCAACAGGAAGACAAGTGCAATAACAAGGGTACCAATATGCCAAGACACACTAAAATGCAACAGAGTCCAGGCCTGGGCCAGTCAACCCAAAGATCCTGAAGCTGATTCTCTTAATTCTCTGCATAGGGCCTTTCCACAAAACCCTAATTCAGAAAATCATTAAGGCCTTAGGTGTACAGAAAGAAAGAAATGTAAGAGTACTTCTGGGACCACTGGCTTTCCTGACTTCCTGGCAGATTCTGAGGTTAAAACTTGTTAGGTCAACTCCTCCAGCTTCTTATTGATCTTCTGTTTCACCAAATACTACTTGACAATGAGATAATATCTGAGTTTAAAATCCATTGTAATATAATAAGGTTTGATCTAAAATCATAGGAAGTTCAGATTTTCACAATTTCTCACTTTACAATGTTACTGGATGTAGCATTTACCTTTCTAAAGTCATACAATACAAAGCACAATTGTCACCAGGTCTCACATCTGGAAGATACAGGCATGATTTGAGAGAAAGCCCTTAACACTACAATCTTCCCTTGGTTTCATATGCTTTTTTTTTTTTTTTTT